GTAAAATTTCGGCTTAACAGCTTCCGTAGTTCCCCAGATAGCAATTTCCCCTGTCAAAGCTTTCGCTGCGCTGTAAGTGAGATTCATGCAGACATGAAAACTAAATTTGAATCTGCTGGGTTGCAAGTGGGCAGTGGACATCCCCCCAAGGTTTCAGCAAAACACAATCGGACACACATACACAGAAGTAAGCGATAAGGCGCTTGACAATCTGTGTTTTGTAAAGCTATCATACAGCACAAACGCAGAGAATGTTGCAAGCACGCATTCTATCTTTAATTTATAGCTACATCGAAGACCATTAAAAACTGCTCTTTACACTAAAAGTGTACATCGAATTCACAGAGTTCTGGCAGAATAGCAAGGCAGGAATTCACATTCGAAAGCGACGGCATTGCACTTTTATGGATAAGAAAAAATGTTGGATTTCTAGCTTCAGTTGCGGTACTCAGAAATTTCAAAAATTTTCGAAGTAAGCGCTGAAAAAAAAAACTGCAATTTTCAAAGGAAATTCGAAGCAGCAGCGGCAGTGCCTGAAAGCAGTATTCGAAAGAGAACTATCGACAGCCATGCCAGCGTATGGTTGCTGTTGTCGAGCTGCTCTTGAATATCTTCACCTCTCATGAACAGTGAATACGTAAGCAGTTTTAAATGTGATGACACGTTACTCAAGCCGAGACAATTTCACTGTAACAACCTTTTGTTTCGGCAGCTGAGAATCCGGTTGAAACCATCGATGTCACTCCAGCCAGCATTAATAACGTGCAATTTTCCGTTTTTGTAGAGGCTTTCATAAAGCTTGAGAAGCACGACAACCGGGAGAAGAAATGCCGCCTCAACAGGCACTTCTTTTAGGGTACGCGCAAGCATATGTACTATCTGGTCTTCCAAATTCTCTGAAATTTAAGCAAAATGCAAATTCCATTTTTACACAGACATACACATTGTACAAATAAATATGTGCATGCGCTGGCGATTCAACTCTGATGGTTAGCTGCACATACAGATACTGGCACCTTCAACGTGAGAACAGTATGCAATGGCAACTCAAAGGATCTCTCTTCTGAAGGGACAGCTGCTTAATCGCCGCAGTTTTTTTTGATGTTTACAGAGCCCACAAAAACTGAGAAAGCACAATTTTTGCAAAGAAGAAACGCAAGCAAAAATACGGGGTGCCCAGGAGGCATTTAAAGCGAAGTTACAGTTCTGGAATAAAATAATTTCTAATAATCCAGGCGCAAGTATGCCTGGTAAGTCACTTTTTAAAGGGTATTTCTGCTATTTCAAAGAAAAAAAAGAAATCGAGAGCCCTTCTTCAAGAAGCGGAAGCACTCAGAAGTAGCCCGGGCAGCAACATCAAGTTAACCACCAGATGGTAAGGCTATGAACCTCTTCTGTTTAGAAGTAAGCTAA